TAGACCCTCAAGGGAAAGATGGTAAATACAGCATTTTTCACAAAGTGCTACTATTTTTAGCTCAATTTACATTGAAGTCAAAACCCTCTTTCTTTCAACTCTGTAAACAATATGACACAACCATTTTTCTTTTCTTGTGCACACAAAAGAAAAAATAAACCATGTGTAAGCTGTGTGGTTGGTTATCTCGGTGTAGTTCCAAGCACACAGGAAAGCAACCATATGAAAGGCTCGAGTGCTACTACGCAGATGTCCATGAAAAGGACTGGCTGACATAGTACGTTACAGTGCCTGATGCACACTGTCAGCCTTAGTAAATGTAGAGTAGATGGGATAGAACAGAGTTCCTTCCCCATGGTAAGCAGCTTGCATGCTTTTTGAAAAACTATAACAGCCAGCTCTTTTATTACAAATGATGAACGAGCAATAAATGATTAAGAGCAATAAAATGTTACTTCTTAGAAATACTGAAATTCTGATTTTTTTCAAACTTCCAGCTATGTATGTTTAGGTTATAACTGATTATGTCCATACATGTAAAACACTGAAGGAAATCAACAAATTGGAAATTTGCCTAAAATATATTTTACTTTAACCATTTAAATCTCTAGTTTAAGTTACTAAACAGTTTGAAGACACATACAAGAAAACAAGATGTGAATTTAGAAGTACAGATTACTTACTTGGAAATTTACATGTGTATTGAAAAGCAAGGGAAAGAAATTTCTGTATATGTGCTTTATATAATGATACTCTAAAGAACATATCAAATAATATATTTGTTATGTATCCAATTTTAAAAATTATTTTTAAAATTCCTAAATGCATTGTTATTTCTTTTGACTATATACTTATAAATATAAATACTAAATTTGAATATATAATTTGCATGTGTTATTTATGGTTTTGCAAAACCTTACCATGTGTAAATCCTACCAGGGCAATCGTATTATGTTATTTTTATCAATACTAGAGTAATAAAAGAAAAAGGTCTATGTAGCAAGGTTTCTTTGAAGAAAGAGTGGTAAATTTTTTATCTTTTTCAAAGTAAACAACTGGCTTTAGATTCTGGTTTAATATGTATTTATTAAATTAAAATTAAATTCGTGAAAGCCATAAAAATAATAAGGGCACATTTTATCTCCTTGTTATAAACCATAATAAGCTTACACTTTTGTATATTTCTACTTTTTTTTTTTGTTTACATCCATTTTCATCATCCAAATGCTCATTCAAATGCCAATCCAAACAGCTACACATATACCTATGTATAAACATTAATAAATTGAATACCACATTACTACTTATTTGGAAAAATATATCTGCTGTTGCATATTTTAAACATGCACCTGTGGAATAATAAATGTCATATGCTTAAGCTGAAGAAAATCAATTAAAGATCTACCATAAGGACGTGTTAATGTTCATAGTTTTCAGGTTTTATTTTTACATTTAATATTTTATCTCATATTTTATCAAGAAAAATTTTCTTGTATACATTGTATGTGAATACAAATTGATAAGCCCAACTGCAAATGATTATATCACTTCTAACACACAGAAAACAAATCCATTCCAATGACAAAAAATATTTTTCTATCGCCTTTAAACTTAAATGTCTAATAACAGAAAATAAAACATATATACATATACATGTGTGTGTATATGTATATATATCTTAAGTATTTAGACCCCCAAATACTATTCTTTTATAAGATATTATTTATTTCATGTAGATACCCGTAATTCTTACAAACATATTTATCCCATTATACAGTTTATATTAAAATCCCCATGTACCAACAGTCTCTCAGCCAATTATTCCTGACTGATTGGCATTTTCATATGACTGAGATAAAAGTTTAACAGAAGAGTAGTTATAACTACAATTTAAAAAACAAAAACAAAAACAGATTTGTAAATAGATTCTAAAATTAAGAGAGACAGGTTTAAATTCACATTACAATACTGGCCACAATACATCTTACCCTAAGTTTTAAAATAGAAGTGTTTTCACATGAGTCAAGAAATTATTTCTAGAACAAGCAAGAGTTCCCTTTTTGAAAACTATGTTTTAAATTACCAAAATAACATGTGCATGCTATAACATGAAAATTATGTATTTTCCATTTATATATAAACCAATATGCATTAGGTGGTTGCTACTATACAGTATATTTATGTTTCACACCTTACTGAGACCGTCATTTCCACAAGAAAAACCTAACCTAGCAAAGAATTTTATCAAAATTCCTTTATCTGAAAAAAACCATTTTAGCATTAACACTTAGAACAGTTTAACTACTACTTTAATCCAGAAGAATATGCTATAAGAATGTATGAGAAGCAGAGGGTAGAAAATTAAAGATATTTAGAATGATATATTTTTGCTTTATTACAATAAAATTTAAGCCCTTAATATTATAAACACTAACAGACACAGACACACACACGCGCGCGCACACACACACACACACACACACACCCTTTGTGAATTACTAACTCTAATTCAGGTCCCACTCCACTAAGTGCATAATTCATTTCATAGTGTGTTGATGACATCCTCTTCTGATAATCAAAACTTCTTATATTACCTTTTCTCTGAAAAGTAAAATTGTCAAAAAAAAAAAAAAAATCCAACAAAAGGATTTACTAATGATTTCCAGAGAATTTTATACATAGAAGCATAATAATGTGTCTTTAGTGAATGCTACAATCTTTGTATGCAGTTTCTATAAACTTGAATTTTTTCCCAAGGATTTGAGATTTATCTGATGATCCCAACACTCCATATGAATTCTTTTCTTGCAAGAAAAGCAAATGGCATCACATCTTGATGAAAATAACGCTGCATTTTTTAAAATTTTTATAAAATTTATTCAGATACCTAACATGAAGTACAGATGTCACCTATCATTTGTCCTCTCCTCAGAAGATGGTGTTACTAACTTTTCAAATAAATAATTGAAGTTGCAGACCCTTGCAAAAATATTGTTAATATTATCTAGAAAATTGTTTATTAGATCTAGAAAATTGTTTATTATGGTTTTATTTCATGAAATGTTTCACATAAATTGAAGCTATCTTTAATTGCCACTGTTAAAAAATAAATTTCAAATCCTTTCAAAAAATTTTTGTTTTTCCTAATTCCTATCTTTGCCCACTATTTTCTTTCTGGTCTCTAATAAATTTCTGACCATAAAAATTAGTTATTTTAATTCTAGGAAATCATTTATTACAACTGTCCTTACAATAAGAATTTTTACATTAATATTTTACCAGTATGTTCAGGAATAAAAGGTTGTATTTTGTTGGAGTTTAAAGTCATAGTTTTCCCCAATGGTGTGATGATGCATTCCCTCCAAATGATAGAAATAATGATAAATTGGTAGCTAAAAATGAGAATTTAAAAATGTGTAAACTAAACACATGAACTCCTTTTTAAAGAGCCACTTCTTTATTTGACACAAAATGCAAGTGAGTCACTTGAGTTCTTCTTGTATAGGCCAAGCTAGAAAGAGTAAAAATTAATCAGAGAAAATAATTTTGAAGCATCTCTAGGGTAATTCTTACTCTTTTTATGTTTCAAAATATCCGCTTGGAACATGCTGCCAATTAAATGAAGATCTACAGATGGCATTTACCCTTTGCTTCATAACAAAAAAAAGGATCTGCAATCATTTTTATGGAAGATTATCTAAAAAGGAACATGACTGTAAATCAATGACAAAAATATTCGACACTTCCCTTCTCTGGATTAAAATGTGCATCCATCAGGTGCTTGTACTGACATCTAATGTAATAAATACTTTAAGCTGAATCTAATAGCTGCAGGGTTTCAACTGGTAAAGATTTACTGTTAATATCCACCAAAAACTCCAGTTTGGATTCATCACTCGGTCAACAAAAGGACAGCAAATAATTCCCAACATCATAAATACCGGGAAGGCTACCTTGGGCTTTGTTTTTGTTATGTAAAATGCATTCAAGTGACTCATCCACTTAAGATTACCTACTGTCAGAAGCTTTAAAGTAGCTTCAAGAACTAAAATAAATGCTTTCCCAGAATGCCTGATAGGCTATTCGGCGCATTTAAAAATATGTATGTATTTTTATGTGCCACTGATTTTGATTCTTTTTCCCAGCCTAAGAGAAGAGAGAATTATTTTCCATTCCCTTCCTGCCGTGTGACTACATGGCTACCTTTAAGCAGTCTATTTCCAGAACAGCAGCAAGGTTTTTTTTTTGGTATTTTTTTAAAGTTATTTTAGAAATGTTAAAAATAAGAGAAAATTGCAGGAGCCTCTGGTAACGCTCAGCCTCTCCCTCAAAGAATAGGTTCTATTCATTCTAAGAACAGGAACCGCGTGTCTTCCGGCACTCCGATGCTTCAAATGAGGGTTAGAGAGGTTGGCTGGCTTGGTCCCGGTACCTGCGAGACCCCTGGGTGGACGGCACTCTGCGGCGGGGAGCGGGCACACTTCCGATCAGAAAGGCTGTCAAGTGCGCCCAGTGATCTGGAATCGAAACGAGTTTGGACACTATAGCGATTAGAGAGCATCTCAGAGGCCAAGTGCGTGAGAAGTCCAGGCTACCCTGACAAGCCTGACATTACCTGTTTGTAAAATACCCAACCAAAACACAACTTTTATTAGACTGGGTCTGATGAGAACTGCTAACTGGATGGAAACTTTCTTTCCCCCAGTACCTATAAACTCTTTACGCCTCGAGGATCCTGAGAGATGGGCTGAGGCGCCGCGAGTCGTCGGCGGACGTTCCCCGGGACAGCGCGGCCCCGGCGGCCAGCCCTCCGACACGCCGCTTCGGAGCACATTCCGGCGGCGAGCCGCGCGCTCCTCCCGCTCGGCCTCTCCGATCCAAGCCCGGCTCGCTCCCCGCCCCCATGGGCAGAAAAGCCCCGCGATTCGGGAACGGACTTCGCGCCCAGCTCCAGCGACACCCTCGGCCGGCACTCAGCCCTGCCCTGCCCGGCGACTTACGTGATGGCCGAAGGGAACGGCTCCTCCGACGAGGGGCGGATCAGCAAAGATTGGAAAAGTGTCAGAGTCAAGGCCAGCAGGCAGCCAGCAGCCATCTTCGCGATCGAAGATCAATCCCGCCTCCCTTCCCAGCCCGGGGAAGGAACGGAGCTGGAAACCGCGGGAGGAGAAGGAGCACTCCGCCCGGAGAGCAGACGTCCGGGGGCTGGCGCGCCCGGCCGGGGCGCGGACTCGCGCTGGGGGCGCAGGGGCGAAAGGCGGCGCGGGGAAGGGGCGGCGGCGGGCGGACCCTCTAGCGCGCGTGGCTGCTCAGCGCCGCGGCTGCCTCGCCTCCGCCGCCATCAAGGGCGACTTTGGAAACCGACCTGGGCGAGCCTGCCAGCGCCCGCGCACTCTCACTATCTCTCTCTTTCCCCCTCTCGATTTCTTCCCTGATTTATTCCCCTGATTGCCGGGGAAGGGAGGCGGAGGCGGGGGCGGAAGAGGGGTGGCGGCTCTTGGGAGGGGTGTGGGGGTGGATGTAGGAATGGGGGGATGGCAGGCGGGGAGACTTGTGGCAGGGAGAGGCTCCGTCTGGCTTCTCCTGGCAAGTCAGAGGGAGGTGGCTGGGGGTGGACAGCGGGAGGGCTGGGCGTCAGCGCAATCGGGCGGAGACCGGCCGGGAGCAGCCCTCCTTACAAGGCAGAAAGGAACTCCTAAAGTCGGCGTCCGCTTGCGCCCGCCGCCCGGCGAGCGGAGGAGGAGCGGACCCAGCTTCGCAGGGCTCCCGGGGGACAGCCAGCAGCCCAGCGGGCATCAGGCTGCAGAAGCTCCAGCCCAGTACTTGGCTTGTGTCTTCGGGGGTTATTTTTGCACAGGCAGGCAGCGTTCCCCTAGCCCTTTTCTCGGGCGCAGAATCCGCTGCCTGCCTGGGAATCGTGGTGAAGTGATTTGACAACAAATGTAGGAGGGGTTTGTATTTGCATTTTAAAGCACTGCTTTTGACTCTACCAGGTGGCACTATTCGTTTGCCCGACAGTGCCAGAAGCTAGAGCCTCTGGCGTGGCTGAATACCTTTTGTGTCCACACCAGGTACGGCTCACCTGACGAGGACAGGGCCTCAGGGTCCGGGTTGAGGACATTCTGAGAAGCACCTGATGCTGTAAAATCTTCCCAGTCCTGCCATTCAGTGGGACAGAGGGGTGGAGGGACGAATTCTCCATCCGGGGAGGACCATACTGCGAAAAGGGATTTGTACCATCCTAGTGAGACTACTTCCAGAATGTTTCAAACGCCCTGATTTGGCCACTGGTCTCCCCTTTCTTGACAAGGTTGCTGCAGGGTGAGTTCACTTTGTCACTGTGAAGGCACAAAAAGGGTAGCAATTTGAGAAAAGCGCCTGAAATGTGGAGGAGGAATTAAGGGAGGGGGAGAGAGCTAAGGCGTAGCAATGCCGAACCAGTTTTCTCGTCCACTCCCAAGAGAAGCAGTGGTAGGGCATGCTCAGGCCTTCTCTTGGAAAGAACAGGTCTTGGAGTAGGCCTCTCCCAACTGCACAGGGCTCTCAGGGAACTGGTGCGCCAGGAGTGGAAAGATTTCCTTGGACATCTTAAATTCTTAGGCTCCCTAAAACAGTGTATTAGAGCACAACTAACGTGAAGCACAGAGAACATCCCTATGTGGGGGGAAAAAAAAAAAAAAAGACCGTAATGCATATGCGTAAAAACTATAATTATGAGGTGGTTGTAAAAAATTTTTAATTAGTCCTTCTTTAGTTTCAGGGGGAACTTATGAAAGGAGAAAGACCCTCATGTACTCGGAATTGATGTTCCAGCTCTGTGATGGCAGCATCCCAAAACAGAGAAGACCTAATACTACTTGCTAGCAAAATTTTAAAAGTGTGTGTGATGTTAAGATTCTTGACCTAATGGTTTTCTCCCCTCCCCTCACCTCCCTTCCTTTCTTTCTCGGTGCCTTATTTGTTTTTATAATCTCTACATCTCTTTATCGCTCTTTGTTTCTCTCTTCCTACTCTGAGAGGCCTCACAAAAGGCACCCCATGGGGACTTAACTTTGTTTTCTGCTAAACATAGTATGGCAGCAGGAGCTAGCAAACAGATGAAGTGGGATGTAATGCGATTGAGAAATGGAGCTCAGGACGGATATTTTATATAACTGAAGATAGTTTTCCACTCCAAAATTAGATAACCAAATAGTCAAGCCCATCATTTCTTTCCCAACTTTTAATGATGCAAAGGCAGATTTTCTTCCCCAGCATGGGGATTACGAATAGCAGAATTAGATGCCCATTATTGTCTGTGTGATATGTTGGTATCATAATAGCCTCACTACATAAAAACATTTTTCTAATGTATTCTGTCAATTATTTCAATAATGACCTCAGACTTCCTACTAAGATATACCATTTCCAATTTTATATCCTTAAGAGAAAGAGCTTAAAGAATAAAAAATGCAATAAACTTCTAGAGAAGGTAAGTCAGCCTTCATTATTAATGTTGTTGGCCTTTGAGCCAACTCTCAATTTCTTTAGATCACTCTGATGAAACACACTGTTCTCTAATATCTGAGGCTGTTGAAGAAAGATATTGCTTCTACAATTCTTTCTGAAAGGGTTGGTTATCAACTGTAAGCCTAAATCACTGCTTAGTGCTCTGTTGTAAGGTTTGCTATTTATTGCTTTTTATCAACCTAACCCTTTTTAATGAAGATATTCATTATGTGACTTTTATTTCTTATGTGTGATAGTTAAAACATGACCATTTCCACAACATAGTAGTATCATGTGCCTATTGGATTAACCATAGCCATTTACAATGTATTGTTTCACCTCAGTTCTGTTATTTTAGAAAATTTCACAAAAATCTGATCTCATCTCATTAATTTTAATAAAATTTTGCTAAACCACCAAAATCTGCCATTCAAGATAAACTGTTTATAAATCATAAGAGCTGGTAATAAAATGTATCTTATGGGCTATAAATGAGCAAGAAGTCAGAAATCAATATCTATCATTCACTTAAGAGGAAATTGTCCAATAAGAAAATAAAGACTAGTGAAGAGTTGCAAATGTTTGTATTTAGTCATTTCTAGAAGAAACTTTAAAGAAGATTTAGTTCATGCAAAGCAGTGACTTTTTCCCCCTGTTTACTGAATTTATTGTGGTGACACTGGTTCTAGTTTCACAATTCTACAACACATCATCTGTACACTATATTGTGTGCTCATCAACCCAGTCAAGTCTCCGTAAGCAGTGACTTTTGGCTATCTCTCTGTTGTCATTATATATAAATATTTAATTAAGAACAATATTTACCTTGTAACCATGAAATGTCCACTTTTACTCCCTTTTTGTTTTAAGTTATAGTATACATAGTGGTAGCATAAAATTATATTTTGTTTTATATTTGAATGTATGTATGAGCATGTTTTTCTGAGATTCTTTTTTCAGTAAATCAAATCTAATTTCTTCAATGTTTTGGCTTTATGAATAGAACAAATAATCTAACTGAAATGTTCTTTCTTGCTCCCTCTCTCTCTCTCTTTCTCATACAAATGCACACATACAATACTACAAAAGAAAATAATTCCTCCAAGCCAAAATAACTTAAAAGGCAGTAATTAATTTTCTAGGGGTTTTGTTTGTTTTTTGGGGGCATATCTTAAGAAATATAAGGAGAAATCCATGACAACAGACCTTACTTGTTTATATGCAGATAGGGGTATATGACCTGTCTCTAATAAAGATATACTGTAACAGCCATAATAGTAAATGCTTGTGATTTGAGGTAATATCATGTTTCTATACACATACAGACATGTCCCAGAGAAAACAAAAATTAAACAAAAATGGACAGAGTGCTTTAACTATGTCCTTAGGGAATCTTTTTCTAAGATGGGAATAAGAAAGAAAGCAATTCAGAAGTATCAATTCCCAGGAGAATGAATAGTTAAGGGAATGTGTAATGATTTTTAAGGCAGCATTAGCATTCAGTATTTTTAAACTAAAGCAGCACACAGAGGTCATCATAGAAAGCAACAAGGAAAAGACACTATTTTAGATGAATATTTTATATAAATATATACTTTCTACAAACAGACAAATATTTAGAAGAAATTTTTCCTTGGCCAGAATAATACAGCTATTGACAGATAATTGCATTAAACTTTTGAGACAGAAATACTTTTCTAAATGGACACAGGAACATTTAACATGTACCTAGTGGAAGTTTATTATTTGCCCATCAGAATCCTATATTGGCAAACTTCTGCTAACTTAAGTATTTAGAAATAGTAGTTGTTATATGAAATCCATCATGTCTTCAACCAAGCCATAGTATTTATGCTGTTCTATTTTTGAGTCTCTGCTAATCGTAAAATTTTTAATTTATCTCTTTCTCATGTTTTATTTTTGCTCTTTCTACCTCCCTCCCCCATTAAACCCAAGCACATCTCAGAAAAAAATTAGCATTAACATCATATCTTCCCATTTAAAAAAAAAGACTCTATTAGACTCTAAAATCTACATTTCATAAGATCCTTCTTCATTCCATAAATAAGGCTGCAGTTGCTTTGGTTGTGGGCAGCAGAAACAGCACCAGGTATTAGATGGGTGTGGTCAGACTGGACTGAGTTCAGCAGCCTTGGTGCTTGAGTTTTGGGCTAGGAAAGAATTCATAGCAAGACTCAAACTATAAGAAAATATTTATTTGGAAAATCACAGAGGTAGAATAAGAAATTCATAGAAGAGCCCGGCTGGTGTGGCTCCGTGGTTGAGCGTCAACCCACACACCAAGAGGTCCCGGTTCAATTCCCTGTCAAGGCACATGCCCAGATTGTGGGCCCAATCCCCAGTGGGGGCATGCAGGAGGCGGCCAATCTATGTTCTTTCTCATTGATAATTCTCTCTCTCCCTCTCCCTTCCTCTCTCTGTAAAAATCAATAAAGAAAAAAAAATTTTTTTAATTAAAAAAAAATTCATAGAAGAAATGGACTTAGGAGAGAAGGTATATAGTTTGTAAAAGAAGGAACTTGTAAGTGAGAAAGTAAAGGTGACATGCCTGGGGGCATAGGGAGGAGGAGGAGGAAGGAAAAGGCCCAGGTGAGCTCCTGGGAGGGAGAGCATGCTGGGTCCTCTGTCCTAAGGGTTTTAAGGGTAGAGATTTTAGTGGAGGACCCAGGAGAAGATCTCCATAGAATATTCAGCAGCTTTCCAGGTGTGTCCTT